TGATGTAATTTAATATTTCAGTCACAATCTGAGGTTCCATATTTTAAAAACTACATAATTAAATATATGTTCATTTTGGAGCTGGAGCAGAGACTCAGTGGTTAAGAGCATGTACTGATTAAGTTCATTTCCCAGCACCCACATCCAGCTGCTCACAACCCCCTGTAGCTCCTACTCCAGAAGATATGACACGCTCTTCTGGACTCCAAAGGCAACTGCACTGAAGTGCATATACCTACAGACAGATACAGTCACATAATTAAAAATAAATTTGCAATGTTCCTCTTGAAAAGCCATTAACCCTATTAAATATTTTAACTTATAAACTATAATGGCCCCAAACTGACTGGCAGTAGAGACCCCGGCACACAAATTAATGGACATCAAGGTTCCTAGTCTTCAGAACATGTGACTATGTGGCAATACACAGCAAAAAGGACTCCGAAGATGGAATGAAGTTAAAGATTTTGAGATGAAGAACTTATCCTGGATTACTTGGCTGGACCCAATGCAATCAAAAGCTCATCTTGTTCTCTCCTTTTTATTCAGTTTGGCACACCGGCCCATGGAATGGTGCCACATATACTTAGGGTGGTTTTTACAACTTAATTAATCCTGTGTAGAAACTCCCTCTCAGGCAGGTGTAATGGTCCACTTCTTTAAACCCACCACTCAGGAGGCAGAGGCCGGCAGATCTCTGAGTTAGAGACCAGCCTGGTCTATACAGTGAGTTCCAAGACAGCCAGAGCTCTGTAGAGAAATTTTGTCTTGAAAAACAAACAAAAATGAAAAAGAAAGAAAAAAAGGAAATTCCTCACAGATATGCTTAGAGGATTGTCTCTTAGGTGCCCCAGGGTCTTCCAATTGGACACAAAGTTTGCTTATTTGGGCTTGTTTAGTGCTTGCTTGGATCCTGCGTCTACTTTCTACAGATAGACTTACACCCACCCAGAATTTACATGACGTTGGGGATTCAAAGTCTGGTTTTCATGCTTGCCTGGCAAGTGCTTTATCTACTGAGCCATCTCCTCGGCCCTCCCACACATATAAAGTAATGAAATACAACATATGCAGTATGACCTCTGGTATCCATGGGAAAGAAATATACAATATTTACCTTATAGCAACACAGAGAACATTCTGGAAACTTGCACAAGAACTATTAATAGTGCTTAATACTATTAAGTATTAAGTGTAAAAAAGAGTGTAAAATATATATAGTGGCCTCAGTATATAGCACAGGCTGGTTTTGAATTTGCTGTCTTCCTGCTTTGAGGTGCCCAGTGCTAGGATTACAGGCATATGTCACCACACCTGGCTTCCTTCCTTCCTTCCTTCCTTCCAAGATTTATTTATTATGTGTACAGTGTTCTGCCTGCATGAATGAATACCTGCAGGCCAGAGGAGGGCACCAGATCTCATTATAGATGGTTGTGAGCCACCATGTGGTTGCTGGGAATTGAACTCAGGACCTTCAGAAGAGCAGGCAGTGCTCTTAACCGCTGAGCCATCTCTGTAGCCCCCCCCCACCTGGCTTTCAATATAGTTCTTGATCTTAGGCTTCCTAACTTGGGGCTTCTGTTGTTCTTTAGAAAAAAAAAAAGGACAACACAGGAACAGGGAGCCATGTAGACAGAGTGAGCCTTTTGGGTCAAGGGTCTCAGAGTTTTAAATCATTTGAGTTAAAAAAAGCAATTTCTTTAAAAAATCATATTTGATATAGTTCTGTAATCACAGGAAGACCAAGGCACATTCTGTGTTTATTGAGAAAATATACAATGTGTGTGTGTGTGTGTGTGTGTGTGTGTGTGTGTGTGTGAGAGAGAGAGAGAGAGAGAGAGAGAGAGAGAGAGAGAGAGGACCATATGCATGTGTATGCATGTGTACATAGAGTCCAGAGGCCAGGCTTTGGGTGTTTTTTCCTTACAGCAGCCGTCAACTTTGTTTGTGAGAGAAGATCTCTCACTGGGACTCCAGCTTGCCAAGTAGGCAAGGCTGGCCCTTCAGTGAGTCCCAGAGGCCCTGCTGTTTCCATATCCCCAGAGCTAGGATTATAAGCAAATGCCACCACATGCTTTTTATGTGGGTTCTGAGCATTAAGCTGAAGTCCTCATGCTTGCATGACAAGCACTTCACCAACCAAAACACCTTCTAGTACCACCTGCCTCCTTTTTATTTTCTGACTGTTTTTTTGCTACAGGGTCTCCCTCTGTACTCCAGACTGTCCCCATCTCATAGAGACTTGCCTGTCTCTGCTTCCTAAGTGCTGAGACACCTAAAGATTCCCTTCCTTTTTGGACAAGGACATATGTATTCCAGACAGGCCTCAAATTCACTTCAGAGCTGACAGTGACCTTGACCATCTGATCCCTCTATGTCCATCTCTCAAATCTGTGATTATAGGAATACACTTACCATGAGAATTTTATGCAGTGGTGTGTATTAAACCTAGGGCTTTGTGGATGCTACGTAAACCCTCTACCAACCAAGCGAAACTTGGTTTAACCTATCATTAATCCAGCCTTTTAAAGGTCTAAAATTTTAAGTTTTCTTGGTTTGTCTTGCTTGAATTTAAGTTAGGCATGAAGATTCCAGATAGGTAAAAAGTTTATCCCCTTCATCCCCAATTATATGGCTAAGGTAGACCAGACACCCAACTGAGGCCCCTTGCTAGAGACTTGTATTGTACTCTGTGGTACTCATAATCATTTGAAAGTCTGTGTACCTTTTTGTTTGTTTTTGGGATTGTGTGTGTGTGTGTGCGTGTGTGTGTGTGTGTGTGTGTGTGTGTGTGTGTGTGTGATGTGCATGCATGTAACAGCCTTGGATGCTATACTTAAGAAGGCCATCTACCATAATGTCTTTCGATGGACTGAAACTTACCAATTAGGCTAGGCCAGCAAACCTTATAGACCCACCTGTCAATGCTAGGATTATAAGCACAGGCTGCCATACCCAGTATTTTTATGTGGGTCCTGAAGATCAAATGCAGGCCTTCACATTTGGAAGACAAGCACTTTACTGAGTGAGATATCCTCTAAGCCCTGAAAATTCATATACCTTGTATGCTTCACCTCAGAAGTTTAGGAAACAAAATTAGGTCATTTTAACATAAGTATGGTTTAAACTTAAAATTCATATCACTTTGAGCTATCCCTAGTAAATGGAGTCTTATTTTTCTTGAGACTCACCTCATTGACCCCAAGGTGTCTTGCTGTCTCTGCCTCTTCTGGTACTGGAAATCAAATCTAGGGCTTTGTTCATGCTAAGCAAGCATATCACCACTGAGCTATGTGTTTTTATTACATTTATTTTGTGTGGGTTCAATTTTTGTGCACAGTATGGATGTAGATGTCAGAGGACAAATTGTTGGGGTACATTTTCTCCTTCTACCATGTGGGTTCCAGTATAGAACTCAAGTCTTCAGGCTTGTTGGCAAGTACTTTTACCCACAAAATTATCTGAGCAATTTAGCCCTCCTCTCTCTCTCTCTCTCTCTCTCTCTCTCTCTCTCTCTCTCAATTCTGAGATAGGGTCTCACTAAGTTTCTCAGCGTGTCTATGAATTTCATCTATAGTTCAGAAGTTAGGGCTTGAATTTGTGATCCAGAGTTGGGTTGATCATTTATTTCAAAAGGGTCCTTCCCAGTCACTGATGGTAATATAGCTTATGATTCAGCTTTAATCAGTCAAAGCTTCTCTTGCCCTGTAGTCACATGGAGCCACTGCCAAGGCCTAGGTGGCTGGGCTTGGCTCTACAGGATAGAACAAATGCTTGTTCCCTCCAGGTCCCAGCTACCCAGGGCTAGGATCAGTTCTTCTGTCAGCCACTAAGTGTAAAAGGCCCAGTCATTCCTGCCTGCCAACCACCTCCAACTTCGGACAGAGCCCTTGCTCTTAACCTCTCAAAGCACAGCCAAGGGCAGACTGCAGACACAGGAAAATGTCACAGTCAGGAATAGTGGCTGCCAACAGCCAGTAATGTTTGCCAGTTCTAAGTTGAAAAGAAGTCTTGCTAACTCCCAACTGTTTAATTACCTTAATTAAGTTTCTTACGTGCAAGTATTAGATTAGGTATAAAAATCCTTATTCACGAGGTTCCTACATTTTTAAAATGTATGCAATATACAAATTGAACCAAAAGTGTAAAACTCTATTAATATTATGCATGTAATGTGATAGATAATGTTTTCCTGAAATTAAATTGCTTCTTGGGTTGAGAGTGTGAGACTCACTGCTATGGTTATAACTAGAGTCAGATGTAAGGTTAAGCACAGTGTTTGGTTGCAAAGATAGTTCGGAATAGGCATTGAAATGTATAATTTAAATAAGAGCAAAACTGTACTTTTTTATATAGAATTTTCAAGCACAGGAGCATTTTGCCTGCCAAGTTCATACAGGGTCCTGGAGTCTCTGGTCCCACCCCAAATATAGTGAATTAGAACCTGTATTTTAGAAATAATTTTTGCAATTTAAAATGTGGTGTGTGTGTGTGTGTGTGTGTGTGCTATGTCAGGCCTGTGGATGTCAGATGACAACATCCAGGAGTCTGTTCCTTCCTTTAACCATGAAGGTTCTGGGGACTGGACTCAGGTCATTATGTTTGGTAGCAAGTATCTTTACCTGTTTGTCAGCCTAGAACCTGCATTTTAAATAAGATGTCCAGATTAAAATTTGAAAGGCACAAATTTATTTCCCAGTTTATTCTTCATTGAGCAAATATGAACATGGGGCATGGTCTAAAGGCTTTTTCTCTTTTTTTGGACAGGTTCTTGTGTAGCCCAGGCTAGCCTCAAGCCCATTATGTAGCTGAGAATCACCTTGAATTTCTGATCCTCCTGCTTCCATCTCTTGAGTGCTGGGATTTCATGCATGGATTATCCATGTTTTTTTTTTTTTTTTTTTTTTGGGTGGGTTCAAGCCCCAGGGTTTCAGAAA